CAGCGAAAGATCTTGTCAGTTTGATAGTGTTTGAGCGCGTGAAATCCGCAGCTTGCACTGTATGCTTCTGCGGAAACTGATAATGTTTCTGAGTGTTCTCAGAGGGTCTGCTGGGGTAATAATAGTTGTAAAGCGCATAGAGCAAGCTCTTGAGCATGGATATGCGCTATATAAATGCAATTATTATTATTATTATCACTTATTGATTGAGTTAAAAAATCTAGTCTTTTGAGTCTTTTCGCTTAGTAAAACTAGGTACCCTAAAGAGAAGGCTAAGTTTGGCCATCAAATTATGTTAATTTCCCGTTGTCCACACGCCATTTGTTCTGTTCACTCTGGATGGTATCCAGAAAAGTTGTAAGTAACAAACTGGCAATAAAAGTAAAAAAGGTTCCACTTATTGATTGTGTAAAAAGGCTAGTCTTTTGAGACTTCACGCTTTTTTTCACGAGAGTAATAATTAGCACCCTTAAAAGTAGGCCAAGTTAGATCATCAAGCTATGTCCATCTCCCGTTGACAATACGCCATTTGTGCTGTTCACTGAGGAAAGTAGTTAGAAAATGTGTAAGTAATAAACTGGAAATAAAAATAAAAAAGTTCTACATATTGATGTGTAAAAAGGCTAGTCATTTCACGTGAGTAATAATTAGCACCCAAAAAAGTAGGCCAAGTTGGACCATCAAGTTATGTCTATCTCTCGTTGTCTATACGCCCTTTTTACTGTCCATTGGGGAAGGTTGTTAGAAAATGTGTAAGTAATAAACTGGCGATAAAAAGCAGCAAAATAGCAATGGTTCCACTAATTGATTGTGTTCTAAAAAAATAAATTCTAGTCTTTGAGTCTTTACGCTTTTCCAGTCACGTGAGTTATATTAGTACTCTAAAAAGCAAGCCAAATTATTTGGTTTTCAAGTTATGTCCGTCTGCCCTTGACTATACGCCATTTGTGCAGTCCACTGGGGAAGGTAGTTAGAAAAAATATAAGTAATAAACTGGCGACTGAAATAAAAAAGTAAAAACAAAAAGCAACGGTTCCACTTACTGATTGTGTCAAAAAATTCTAGTTATTGGGTCTTTACGCTTTTCCTCTGTCAAGTGAGTTATATTATTACTCTAAAAAGTAGCCACGTTTGGCCATCAAGTTATGTCCATCTCCCGTTGTCTATACGCCATTTGTGCAGTCCATTGGGGAAGGTATTAAGAAAAGTTGTAAGTAGGTTGTAAGAAACTAGCGATAAAAAAAACAACAACAACGGTTCCATTTATTGATTGTGTAAAAAACAAATCTTGTCTTTTTTTTAGACTCTAGACTTTTCATTTCACGTGAGTAAAAATTATAGCACCCTAAAAAGTAGGCCAAGTTCGACCATCAAGTTATGTCCATCTCCCGTTGCCCATACGCCATTTGTGCTGTTTACTGGGGAAGGTATCCAGAAAAGTTGTTAAGTAACAAACTGGGGATCCAAAAGAAAAATTTAGTTCCACCTACTGATGGTGTAAAAAGTCTAGTCTTTTGAGACTTTACGCTTTTTCTATCACGAGAGTAATACTAGGTACGATAAAAAGTAGGCCAAGTTTGACCATCAAGTTACGTTCATGTCCCGTTGTCCATACGCCATTTGTACTGTACACTGGGGAAGGTATTCAGAATGTTGTAAGTAATAAACTGGAGAATCGAAAAAAGGTTCCACTAATTAATTGTTTGTGTAAAACAATCTAGTCTGTTTAGTCTTTACGCTTTTCCTTTCACGTGTGAAATAATTGGTACTCTAAAAAGAAGGTTAAGCTTGTCCGTAAAGTTAAAAGAAACAATATTTATATTGGTGCTTAAATTAGTGTCCACAGCACCATCGTTAAAAAAATAGAGAACTGGTATTTTCTTCCGACCACGTAGCAGTTTTTTTTCTTCTATTCTTTGTGTTTTTATGAAGTTTGGATCTGTGCTTACCAAATGCCGCAATAACATTTAATTATTGTTACATTGTTACCTAAGAAAGCGGAGAAACAAAGCCATCAGAATGTTCCGCGTGTGTCTGTCGTTGCCGGGATATTAAACTAACATATGTTGTTGTTGTTGTTGATGTTGATGTTGTTGTTGTTGTGTGTGTGGTAGCCTATCCGTTCGAAATGTTTGGAGCCCCGAAGAGCGTGGTCTTCGCCAGGGCCACCGTCTCCCTTGTTG